ATATGTATTTTTTTTCTAAATGAGCTGCAATGTTACGTTCATAGTAAAAGTTAGTACTTAGTAATAGTACTTTCATTTAATACCTATTTCGTTGTTGGCCGCTCATAGACCATTTTGCTCATTCTCCTTTTACTTAATACCGGGGGCATTCCACGTGAAGCGGACAGGTAAAAAAACTCGATGTTTCCGATTTCAGTAATATTTGAGTATGTTCTACTTATACTTATTATTGATACGTGTACCAAATATTTTTGTGATATAATGACTAGTTAAAGAGTAATGGGACTTTGAAGTTTTCGACAACCGGTTGGCATGCAGTACTTCAAAGCCGATTATGGACTCATAAAATTATATATTAAAATAACTTAACCACTGGATTTCTTACTTTATTTACTGGGCTTTTTAACTGTGTTTTTGGAATAGAGAAAAAATTTTTTTTTTCGTAAAAAAAAACCAATTTAAGTTTTTTTTCTTGATTTTCACAAAGTTAGACCATTTAGTTTTTTTTTATTTTTTTTATATAAATTGCTAATATTGTATAGAACATTAGTGCCAACTTTTATAATGGGCGTGGAAGTGGATTAAGAGCTAGACTGAAAATACTGCCGAAGGGTGGCGTCCAGCGCCGCGCCTGTTGACCGCCGCTTGTGCGCGATTAGTCATCAAACCGTCAATCAAATAAAATCACTTTTGACGGAATGTTTTGTAGATTTTTAAGAAAACCAATACATTTTTAATGCCTATTAAGTACTAAAATACGTTACAACTACACTTTTAATTATAAATATACATTTTTTTACTCTCCATAATATGTGTATGAAATAAGGCCTAAAGGGCTTGTATCCAGGCCATAATATTAAAAAAAAGTTAATTATGGCGCCATGTTTGACAATTTTACCGCGTAATTTTGTGACGCGTGAGAGTGACTTTGTTAGTTCTGTGAGATTATATCGCTATTAAAAATATTTGAATATCATGACTCCTTACGGGGATCGATGTTATAATCCGTTTAATTTACCTGTACATAGAAAAACTAAAGGATTGAGGAAGTTATCACAAGTGCTAGCAGAAAAGTGGTCAATTACAAATAAAAACGTTAATTATTATGTGTGTAGGCAGTGTAGAGACCGTCTTGCTAGTGAAGAACCCTTAATTATTGATGATGTGATCCTAAATAGTCAAGCAAGCCAATCATCACTCCAAAATTCACAAGTCTCGTGTTATGTTCCGGAAGGAAATACGCTTACGAAGTCAACACAGACAAACGACATAAAATCCATTGACAACGAAATACTTTTACAATTGAAAGAGAAATTTAATGATCCTTCTACATCTGTTTCTGAGAAAACGATGATTCTTACCTTAGCACCTAAATCATGGAGCGAAAATAAACTTGCTGATAAATTCAATACCTCTAGACGGCAAGCAAAAAAAGCCAAGGAACTGGTTGAGCAGAACGGTATTTTATCATCGCCTAATCCACGAGAGGGCCGCAAGTTAACATCAGAAGTTGTAGATTTAGTTTCTGAATTTTATCTTAGAGAAGATAACACTAGAATATTGCCTGGGAAAAAAGACTTTGTGTCTGTTAAGCTACATGATGGCCAAAGAGTCCAATTACAAAAACAGCTATTATTGTGTAACATCAATGAATTATATCAACAGTTCAAATTGGAATACCCTGACACAAAAGTAGGTCTTTCAAAATTTTTTTCATTACGTCCTAAGCAGTGCATTCTTGCTGGTGATTCGGGTACTCATATAGTCTGCGTGTGTATTTACCATCAAAATGTTAAATTGATGCTAATCGGGGGGGATATTGCATCACTTACTTCTGAGTCTGCTATCCCCCTAGTATCGTACAAGGAATGCTTGCAAAAGATGATGTGTCCAGATCCGACACCAACTTGCAATTTAATGACAAGAAAATCGTCACTGGACGAACAATGCCAAAGTTGCCCTGGCCTTGTCGGAATTCGGGAACACTTACGAAATATATTTGACGCAAATCAAGTGACTAGTGTGCAGTTTAATACATGGGTTGGTACAGACCGATTCACAATCGCCACTCAAGTTCTTCCTTCTGATGAATTTGTCGACAGTCTTTGCTCAGGATTAGACGCTTTAAAACCTCACGCCTACATATCAGATCAGCAAACTCGGTATTTTAAATTATTAAAAGAGTCGATTTTGGAGGGTGACATAATCATTCAGTGCGATTTTGCTGAAAACTACAGCTTCGTAGTTCAAGACGCTGTCCAGGCATTTCACTGGAGTAACGACCAGGCTACTCTCCTCACATCTGTGTATTATTACAAAAAGGAGCAAGAGTTAAAACACGGAAGTATTGTAATGATATCGGATGACCTAAAACATGACACTGCAACGTTTTATACCTTCCAAAAAATTTTACATCAACATTTACAAGAAAAGGATATATCAACCAATAAATATATTTACGTAACTGATGGTGCACCCCAGCACTTCAAAAACAGGTTTAATTTTATCAACCTGTTTTATTTTAAACAGGATTTCGGTACAGAGGCAGAGTTTCATTTTCATGCTACTTCTCATGGCAAAGGGCCATGTGATGGACTTGGGGGCAACTTGAAACGTTTGGCAACTCGAGCTAGTCTACAGTCGGCGTCAGACAAAGCGATCACTACACCCGAGCGTTTGTACCAATGGGCGAAAACATCAATGCCCCAAACGCACGTTTTATATGCTCCAAAAGAGGACATTCAACAAAACCGATTGTTTTTAAAGAGCAGATTTGAATCGGCAGCGACAATACCAGGCACAAAAAAATATCATGCCTTTATTCCCACTACTGAAGGTATTATGATTAAACGCACGAGTAACAGTGAAGCATTTAAAATTGCAAAAATTTGTAAATAAAGTAATTAATCATAGAAGATAATTTGTTTTATTTAAAATATCAAACTACTAAAGAAAAAAAGTAATCTGAATAAAACAAATTTTACGGGTTAGATGCATTAATCTGCTTACTCACAAGTGGCGGCGTCAGGCGCGCCAGTGCGACGTCGCCGCGTCGCGGCGCTGGACGCCACCCTACGGCAGTATTTTCAGTCTAGCTCCTAATCCACTTCCACGCCCATTATAAAAAATTGCAATAATGTTCTATACAATATTAGCAATTTATATAAAAAAAAATAAAAAAAAACTAAATGGTCTAACTTAGTGAAAATCAAGGAAAAAAACTTTAATTGTTTTTTTTTTACGAAAAAAATTTTTTTTTTGCTTTTCTAAAAACACAGTTAAAAAGCCCAGTAAATAAAGTAAGAAATCCAGTGGTTTAGTTATTTTAATATATAATTTTATGACTCCATAATCGGCTTTGAAGTACTGCATGCCAACCGGTTGTCGAAAACTTCAAAGTCCCATTACTCTTTAACTAGTCATTATATCACAAAAATATTTGGTACACGTATCAATAGTAAGTATAAATAGAACATACTCAAATATTACTAAAATCGGAAACATCGAGTTTTTTTACCTGTCCGCTTCGCGTGGAATGCCCCACCGGTAATATTGATATAGGTCTGTAATTACCGGGATCATCTCTTACGCCGTTTTTGAAGAGAGGGATAACTTTACTATATTTCATAAGGTCTGGAAAATCACCTTGATCAATACACTTATTGAATATATCTGCAAGATAAGGAGCGATAACTGTTATTATACTTTTAGTAATTTTAATAGACATTCCAAACAAATCACACGTATTTTTCTTTTTAAGTGACTTAAAGCATTTTATAATATCCATAAAATCAACATGTTTAAACGTAAACAGGTTATTACACCGAGGCACACACGTCTCTAGCAAACTCTTAGCACCCGCTGGCGTCGAATTCAAATTAGAAGTAGTAATTAATGGTATATTAACGAAATATTCATTAAAAGTATTGGCAATCTGTTCTTTTGTTTTAATTTGAATATTATCTACTTTAAGTGCGATCCCATCATCGAGGGTTCTTTCTTTACCAGTTTCTCTATTAATAACATTCCATGTCGTTTTAATTTTATTATTAGATTTTATGATTTTCTTTTTTATGTAAATGGATTTGGCTGTTGCACATACACTTTTGAATGTTTTTGAGTACCTTTTAACATAATCAATGAAACCCTGAGAGTGATTGTACTTCCTTAAGTAGTACAAATCATAAAGTTTATTTCTGCTCTTATAAATACCAGACGTAGCCCAGTCACAGAAGTTCAACTTTTGAGTTAATTTCAAAGTTTTAAGCGGAAAAGCCTTATCGAATTCTTTCTTAACCAAAGTGAACATATTGCCGTAAAGAATATTAGGATCCTCATGTGTCCATGGCATTTGAAACATTTTATCATCAATATTGTTTGGAAAATTTTCTAAACGTTTATTTGTTACTGGTCTTAATTCAATGAATTTGGGCTTAGTAGTGTCATTTGTATTATATGTTATTTTTAAACCGTAATGATCTGATGTGATACAATTAATAATCGATTTACTAACTGGATTATAATCAGTAAATATATTATCTAAACAAGTAGCTGAATGAGATGTTACTCTAGTAGGCTCAAAAAATTGATGTACCAAATTAAAACATTTGAATAGTGATGTTAGGCGAATTGACATTGAATTATTTTCAAGAATGTTAATATTGAAGTCACCAACTACAATCAAAAACTTATTTTTAGACTTTAACTTTTTTAGAACATTCTCCATCACTGATTCAAAAACACTAATGTTGCCTAGAGGGGGTCTGTATACACATACTATAATAAATTCACTGAATTCAACACAGGATAGCTCAATAATACGTTCTACTGAGAGGCCAACTATGTCCTTCCTATCCCTAGTTTTTATATTTTTATTTACAAAAATTAATGTGCCACCGTGTATAGCTGCAGTACGAACATATGCACTTATCATTTGAAAATTGTTTATGCTAAAAGACACCTCAGAAGACTTAAGCCAGTGTTCAGATAAACAGATAACATGAATATCCTGGCTCTTTGCAAATAGTTCTAATTCTAAATCTTTGCCAGCCAACCCTTGAATATTCTGATAAATAATATTAATTTTGTTGGATTTGGCTGTTGTCGTACCCCTCAGTTTAAATTTGAGTTGGTCACCCTATTTTCTAAATTAATAATTTTATTAGTGCTGACACTAAAACAATCCAGTTGCATAGACTTTGTTATACCATGTATAACTGAGTTTTGTATATTAAAAGCTAACAAAGTAGCTATCTGAGTCTTATATTTTTTTGCAAGATACATAGTATCTGTGGTCAACTTAAATTTACTAATATATTTATTTATATCAAAATATAAAAAATTGTCACTATGACTATTTAATAAATTATAAATTATTAAATTCAAATTAAAGATGCGCTTGTTTTGTTCCCTAGTTAAATTTTCTGCATATGGGAAAGCGCTTATTATTATTTTACACTTGCACCTAGACTGATAGTTAAGTAGCACCTCTATATTTCTATACATATCTCTTGCTCTTATTTTAGAGCTGTCACCACACATAATAACTATGTTTGTCAAACTGTCCGCATTATACTGATTCAGTTCACTTACAATGTCATTTATTGATTTACCTGGCATACATATCCCAAGTAACACAGATGAGCTGCACAGAAGATAAATTTTGAACCTAAGGCTGATTTAGCCAAGCTGCACAAAGGCTGATTAAACCGCTATACAACCCTTGTAATTCCAAAATGGGCCCCAAATTAACCAGCCTTGGGCTGATGAATGTCTGCTTAAAGGCTGTCTACGTCTTGTAAAAGAGCTGCATTTAGGCTAAACCAGCTTAATTGTGCAGCTTATTCTCTACTTTTCAGCCGCTATCAAGCTTTTATCCATTGGTAAGTTTCATTGGGGCTGGATAGTGGCAAAAGAAAAAAATAAATTAAAATGAAATGTCAAAAATGTCTTAGTATTTTATAAATTGTTATGGCGTGCGCGTGGAAGCTATAATTGCTGGAATTGGAAATTATATTGTAAGGTAAGTATAGTGCGATTTTCTTATTATACTATATGTTCTAAGTGCGGAGAAAGTTTTACTGTAAATGTATATATTAAATTACATCTCATTTTTCACGCGCCCTTCATATAACGCCTATTTAAGATATAATCGAAAGAAAATTGTGAGCTGAAAATTTTTGTGAAATCACTTTATGTCTACAATTTGATTATTTGTGACTCGTAAAATTAATATTTATAAACTTATAGCTAAAACAGCTCATAATAAAAAGCCAAAAGCTTTTAAATTGCAGAAAACATACATTATTTTATCATCCGATTACTATCAAGATCGGACACAATGGCTGCCGTTTGTAAAGCAGCTCTGGCTCTTTGTTTCAGCTGTTATAATTCTATAGACTGCACACGGGTATCTATGGCAACCGTTGATCAGCTCATAGCTTTCTTATGTCTGTACAAAGTATGAAATAGTTACCTTAATCTGACTAGCGGTATAGTAACTACACTTTTAGTCAGCCTATTGGAGATCCTCGATAGTTATTTCGATACATTAAAACCCATGAATTTATTGCAAACTATTGCTTAATTGGGATTAAACGGAATACTTTAATTTATGTATGGTATTTATTTCTTTTATTAGGTTAAAGTTTGATTATATACTTACCTACTAAAATTTTTTTTTAGCTCTCTCGGTTAGGTAGTGACACCTATCTAGTACCGGTAAAGAAATAATTGATTCGTTTGATAAATAATAAATGTCGCGCGTAACGCGTAACAGTTTGATCGTCATACGATACGACACATAAATAGTATGTGTATGTATGTACAATTAACAATAAAAATATATAAGTCACATTCAAGTTTTACGCTTTTATACTTAGGTACATCGACTAAGTAATTCTTATTATTTAGTAGTCATCAAAATCATAACTAGTTAAAATTACTATAATTAATATCAATTAATAATAATATATAGTATAATATATTTATTAATGTTAATTATAATTTGTTGTTAGTTATAAATATATTTAATCAATAATTTTAACTAGTTACGATTATGATGACTACTACATAATTAGAATTACTTAGGTAGTCGATGTATATACCACTGCCATAACTAGAACTTTACTAAAAAGTAATACTAAACATAGGTACTTACATAACTTCATGAACCCTAAAAACATAACTCTTTTTTTTTGTTTGCTGATAAAGACATCCCAGTCGCCGCTATGCTTGCTATCCTTTTCTTTCTAACAAGATAAAACGAAATGTAACGCGATCACATTCATATAAACAATAACAAAAGTTTGAAGCGTGCCGACGACGCGGCGACGGACGTGCGGTTACTTTGGCACACGAGGACAACGTTTCGCAGAGATAGAAGTGTAATTACTTGTTAATTAGAACGAAGATTCTTTAAAAATAAAATAAAAACTAATCATTTCTTTGTAGAGGTAACTATTTTTCCGCAATATATGTGCGTTTGATATGTTAGTGATAAGTTCATTGTGTTAGTGTTGTTGAAAGTTATAAGTAATTAAATGAAATATTTTATTTTTCAGTGCCAGGAGCAAATCATGCCATTCAAAATTGTTCAAACGATTGAAAAACAACAACCAAAGTTGACTATAGTTCCTGCTTACTGGGAATATAACGGTGTGTTACGATTACCTAAAATAGGTGCCAGAAAGTTAGTTACTAACGGAGATTCCAGACCACTTCAAGGATGGGTATCTATGAAATGTATTGTCAAGCGGTCGTCATTTCAAACATATCGAGAAGCTGAAGAAGAACTAACTCTTATGGAAAACAAAAGTGACACAGATGTTCCTGAACATGAAGGGATTAATTTGAACTCAATTCAAGATACTAACTACAATTCGATGGCCGAAAATTTGGTAAGTATATTTAGCTGTTTAGGTACCTAATAGTTGCACATAATACTAACAAAATGAAAGATGATCTAGTAATGTATTTGATTTAAATAATAATCTATCCTCGTAAGCCCGGATGTCCTTATAAAGGAACAAAATCGTTACAGTCATTAAGACCGAAGCTTGTTTATAAAATTTGGATAGTCGAATAGAAATATTTTTTGTTTCAGATTTTGCTCAATCGCGGCACAGAGGAGGAAATACCTGCGCCACGTACGAGTACTTCAACCGCTGCAGCGCCCGGAGAAATTGAGTATATAATATCGACGAGTGAGCTACCAAATACCATTACAGATCTTCAAAACGTACAAATTGATACAAATATTTTTGAAGAAATATTGAAAAATCAAAATAAAATATTAGAAAATCAAAATGTGATTCTGCAAAATCAATGCGTCATGCAAAAAATGCAACAATGTGTGTTGGATAAAGAAGAAATAAATTGTAAACAGATTTCAAATTTAGTGGTTCTTGTAGAAGATTCCTTTACAAGACTAAGGCAACAAAACAAAAGAGAAACTGTTGTTTCTCTTGGCGATGCTAACGCTTTTGAGAAAGAAAGTTTTTATATCAAACCCTTGGCCAATGTTAAGGAATTGGAAGAATTGGAATGTAAATTATCTGACAATGTGGAAAAAAGTCTTTTAGAACAACGCTTTGAATTCTTATGTACAAGATCAGCTGGAAAAGGAATCAATTGTGCCTATAAGTTGCTAGATATTATATTTCGCAGAGATTTCTTATGTAAATGCTCCTGGTCAGGTGGTAGCAGAGGAAATGCAACTAAAATTGGCCTGAAAGGGTTCAAAAATGTTTTGAGTTTTTTTTACAACATGGTTCACTCATGGGACCCACTCTACACCTATGAAGACAACGAAAATTTTTTCAAAATGGTGACCAAAAATGCTACGAAACGATCAGAAATTAAAGATCTCAGAGCATCAACAAAACGCAAACGCCAGGAGGTAAAAGAAAGTAAAAACAAAAAGAGTAAGACAGAAACATCGCAGGAAGCAGAAACTGTAGAAAGCAGCCAAGAAAACCCGAACCAAGAAAAAGAAGACCGGGAAATTGAAAATCGAGAAATTGAGAATCAAGAAAATGAAAATCAAGATATTGAGAATCAAGAAATCGAAAACCGAGAAACTGAGAATCAAGAAAATAATGAATCAGAAAATAATGAAGAAGAATCGCTCTGCTGATTATTTAAAAAAAAAAAAAATTCTAACTTTTTAATTTTTATTATTTTGTTTATGTGCATTTACAGTAAGTACTGACTAAGCACTACCTATTTTAATTTTAAGTTACGCAATCTCGTGGCGGCGATTATGATGTCATACTTTTATTACTTATTAAACCAAGATACAGACCGACTGCTATCTAACTGCAAATCGACTGCCAAATGGCAGTTGAGATGCAGTTTGAATGTAGCTGGCTCGACTGCACTGAAACTGCCGTCGATGACAACTGCATTCAAACTGTATCTCGATTGCCATTTGGCAGTTGGAATGCAGTCCATCTGTTTAGTCCTGTTTACTATTAAGGTACGAAATCTCGTGGCTGTGATTATGATGTTACACTTTTATTAATAAGTACATACCTATTATATAGATGCAAAATCATGCGACTGATTTTACTAGAAGTAAGAACTTAAACAATGTATCAGTACATACTTTAAATCTAATAAGCGGAGATACATATTAGTAGTAAATGTTGAACCTTTAGTAGAGGTACTAGAACAGCAATAAAAAATATAAGTTGAATAGCGTTATTTTATTTAAAATGTTTTTAATTATACAGTGTGTATGAGAGGTATGAAATACAACTCCTTTTTATGTTCTATACATACTAATTTCAATTTAACGTTTTCCAGCTTCACCGTTACCTCAATGCGCTCATTTTCTGGCATTTTAGCTTTAAAAATATTAAAGTTTGATGATTTAACGGGGTGATCAAAAACTTCTCTCAGCCCTGTTATTAAATACCCGTTAATTGTTAGATTTTCTTCTTTTACTTCTTTCAATTCAAAAATATCGTTAGTATGTGTCATGAAATACTTATCTTGTGGCTTCTTTGAAAGGCAAAAGTACTGGAAATAAATCTTAGTATGTTTGTTATAAGTTTTCTTTATGAATGGGCCCTTGTATTGGTTTTTTGTTTTCAAATCATCACCAAGTTTTTCAAAGTTCTCACTTAGTCTTTTTGCTACTTGAGGAAGTGGTTTCTTACCACCTCGCAACATTTTTTTAATTAAATATTGTTCAGGCAAGACAATAAGAAATTCTGCCTGCACCGGAACGTCGCATCATCTTTCTACCAGTAAGAGCAGCTGTGACCCACGTGATGAAAAACCCCCCCTATACTTCTATCTACACAATTCAAATTTGTACGCTCTCGACTTTTCTCAAGCAATTTTTCGTCTCATATATTTTATCTTGTAATTTCTTCATAATATACGCATTGTACAAGAAAACTGAGCTTTATTGAATAACTACGCATTAACGACGAAACATATGGACCTTCTTCGCCGCATTTAAGCCGCTAGAAGTCTCAGCGACCGTTGGAATCCGACGTCAGCAACTGAATTCATTTTGGACTACAAAATCCTGAAAGAAGCCCTAGAAGAGTAAAGGAACGGAGGTTAAGGCGTCAGAGGACCTGCAGTTGGACCTACATCAACGATAAACGCATTTTTG